GGAGAGAGAAAAAACACCAAAACCTCTCTTTTCATGACATCCTACTGGTTATGGCATTTCGCTGGCCATCACAGATGTCTTCTCTGACTGTTCTGCCCTGGAATTATTAAGGAACCTCTCCCATGAGTCAGTATGCAACATGGCGGGTGGGGGGTGGGGGAGCAGTAACTCAGTGTCCAGTGAGTCCGTTGTGCTTATCTGTTAGCTTTGTATGCCTTGTCCTGGTTCTGCACATCCTGGGTGTGTGGCATTAGACAAGTGGGTTCAACTCTTATCTATAAAGGCGATGCACCCATACCTACCTCATAGGATTGCATAAGATACTAGAGGCAAAATATAAACGTGCACACATGCTCCATAAATGCCCCTCTTCTGTTTTCTTTCCCCATCAGACCTGAAGAATTTGAAAGTACTAGACATGGACAAAAAGGAAAGGTGCTTCTCTTCACCAATTCCCTATGTTGTGGAAAATTTCTTTCCTCAAATGTCAATTCTTGCTCATGTCACAGTGTTAATTGTTGGTTGTTAAGTATATTTTTGGAAGACTTAACATTTTTGATATATGTTCAACTCTAAAATGTAAAAAAGAAGTTCATATAAGTTATAATTTCCCAATCATGATGGATAGCAACACAATTATGAAATTCAGAACTCCCTGGTTTCAATTTCTCTACCTAAGTCACTAGACCACATTTTTGCAATTTCAAAAAAGAAGTACATTGTATAGAAGGATATTAATTATTCTTTCTCAGTTTCAGCAAGAAGTACATTTATTACATACTCAACAAAGTTGTATTCACTTTATCCAAATGAGAAATAGTTGAGAGACTTCATTATATTTGGAGAACATTTCCATCAATCAGAGATTTAACAGCCACCAAAAAGAATTCCACAATTAATCTTTTATATCATGTATGTGACTTATAATTTCTACACTAAAATATTAAATATGAGGGAGAACTGTTCATAAACTTTAGGGTTCCTTAGCAAAGAAAAACAGCTTTGTCTTTTTGAAGATATGAAGAATTTAAATGAAACTTACATGCTCGAAATCAGTGCCAGATGCATTACAATTCCAGCACAACTCACTAGCTGCATGGTATATTTCACTATGATTTACTAAAAAGTATCCAACAATTCTATGTTTCACTGAAATCTCAAAAATACAAGTATTTCATTCACAAAACACATGGCTTGGCAGGCTTCCAGGTTGGGATTTTCTGAAGCAAAGATAAATTTATTGATTAAGATAAATCAAATAACTGACATTTTTCCTTAGAAAACTTGCAAAACATAAAATGCAGAAGTTGACAGTCTTACTGTCTGAAGCAGAACACAACTCTGAGATATGACTTATGATTATTATCAAGCTTCATTAGTGTCATAAGTAGATTTTAAGAATTTCATGTTAATATTGGGAAAATGTAACTATATACATATATAAATGTATATAAGCTAACAGGCATAAATCTTTGGAGTTTTTATCTATTTCTACCCAATGTACAATAATATGCAGTAATTAATGAACATTTGTGAATGGAATGTGTGTAGAGGTAATTCAGGTACTTAAACATGCACCATAATTTCTTTCCACCCCATGCTATGGCTTTTCTCCTGGTCTCTCTCTTCTGGCCATACTTCTGCCTTTAGCAGTTGTTATGGGTTAGATAGTTGTGTGCTTTCCCCAAATTCACATCTAAGACTTACGCTACAACACAGTTACATCCGTACATGGGGCCTCTAGCAAAGTAAGTAAAATAAGACCAAAAGGTTGGGTACCTGACCTGATACTGTTAGTGTCCTCATGAGGACTCTAGAGAGCTCTCCTAAACTGTGTTCCAAAGAGGCCGAGTGAGCACACAGAGATAGTAGCTGCCTACAAGCCAAGAGGAGACACCATGCGAGCAGACTTTACAGTATCTAGAGTGAGAGGAATGCATTGATTATTTAAGCCACTCAGTCTAGCTACTTAAGCAACTCACAGCAGAATAGCACAATTAGGCCTCTCAATGATGACAACTATAAAATTTCTATCATGAAAAATAAGAGGAACAAGAGACTGGTATTGGGGTTCAAACTTCAAGCTGAAGTTTAGAAAAGCAAAGTAGCAGGCCACTAGCTCTTACCACTACCTCAGGCTGAATGGGCTGACCCTGCCGCCTTTCCTCAGCATGGCTGGAGAATCCTGAGACTTTTAAAGTCTCCTGTCTTCCTGTCCTCAATGAGTCTGGAGAATGAATGTCTTCGTATCCTCAAGGTGGCTGGAGAATGAATCTCTCCTATCTTCAATGTGGCTGGAGGATCAATGTTTCCTATTCAATACTGAAGACCCTGATTGTATCTTCTATGCCCCTCTAGTTCTGGGATTAGAAGCATGTGATCTGTCACTCTTTTAGACTGATTCAATCCTGTGTATCCTAGGCTGGTCTTGAATAGAGATCCATTTAACTCTTAACCCCGAGTCCTAGGATTAAAGGTGTGTGCCTGGATTCCACGGCTTGTGGCTGACTTTGCTGTCTGAATCCTCAGGCAAGCTTTAGTAAATCATAAATAATATATCACCACACAAAACAGTTTCATATACTTTCTTATCTTAACATTTTAAGGATTCAAGTAGAAGGAACCCCCATTTAAAAGCTGGACAGTCTTGGCATTGAGGAGTTTCATGTGAACCCTTGAATTATTCATCTTTGCTTTTCTCTAGGTCAAAGAATGCTTGAGGGGGAATCTCCATCATGCAAATTATCAAGTTAGGACATGTCACTGCCACATAAACTTGGCCTGTCTTCCAGAAATTATTGGAGGTTGCATGGCTGTACTAGGTGTTTAAGTATTAGGATTAACTATCTCATGATGCTAAATCCAATCACACTATTAAATACAAACAAAAAAATTGTGTATCAGAACATTTTTAAAAGGCATGTGTTGATAATGTTAATATGTGAAAATTGCTGGGTGGTGGTGGCCCATACCTTTAATCCCAGCACTTGGGGGGGGGATTGATCTCTGTGAGTTTGAGGCCAGCCTGGTCTACAGCATGAGTTCCAGGACAGGCTCCAAAGCTACAGAGAAACTCTGTGTCAGAAAACCAAAAAATAAAAAATAAATGAAAATTATTTTAGGTTAAGCAGTGTGTACACTGTTTGGCCCACAACCAACTCCTTGCTTTGAATAACTAAATACCTTGTATTACAGCCTAACTTAAGAGTATATTAGTAGTCTTACAATGTGTTGCTGAGTCTTAGTCAAATGATAGTAGCTGACTTTTATCCAGTCATTGTGACAGCTGGTCAGACCATATTTATCTAAGTTAAATGCCCAAATATGACCAACCATGCTATATATCAGATGAGAGATGTCATTTTGTAATATGTTTTTCTTATTGGTTAATGAATAAAGCACTGTTGGCCAATAGGAAAGCAAGGTAGGCGGGTCTAAGAGACAAGGAGGAGAGAGGAAGTAGTAGGGGGGAGATCCAAGATGGAGGAATGCAGGGTAGAATGCCAGCCCCTCTCTCCGGTAATTCACGTAGAAATACTTAGATTAATAGAAATGGGTTAATATTTAAGACAGAGCTATCCAATAAGCAATGATAACAGGCCAACAGCTTTGTATCTAATACAGCGTCTCTGTGTGTTATTTGGGGCTGGTGTGGCGGTAGGACCTGACCAGATGGCAGAGAAAAACCTGCTCATAACGTATATCCGTTTCTTTTATTTATTTATTTATTTTTTTACCTGCAAAGCTTGCTTGCTCACTGCTAGAAGTCCGAACTTTGACTGGATCATAGCACTACTCCATTCGTGAAACAGCTGTTTCAAATAAAGTCTTCAAAGTTTAATTTGTCATAGGTATTTTAGCTTGTTAAAGGCTTTGTACTTTGTGTGTGCTTATGCCCACAAACATGTCCCAGTGTATAGTGTTCGGAAGACAACTCCAAAGCATAATTCCTCTGGGGCTATTCACCTGTCTTTTGTGCTCACTGACTTGGTGCTTGCCCAGCAGGATAGTCTGGCTGGCCAAGGAGCCCCAAGAGTCTGCCCATCTGCCTCCTCAGTGCTGGGAGTACATGCATAGGTTAATACTCCTGGCTATTTACATATGGATTCTGGGGATGGAATGAACTCTAGTCTTCCCACTTGCTCCGCAAGCTTTTCACTGATTGAGCTATTTCCCTAGCCCTGTATTTTCTCACTTAACCACCACAGAAAATAAGAACATACACTTAATACTTCAGAAAACGGAAGCACTTCTGACTTAGTCCTGTACTTGTCTCGGTCTCCCTGCCTGGTTTTATTGTTGTCACATGGTGGTATTTTCTGATCGTGTCATCATTTACACGCCCCCAGGCGCCTCATCAGGACCTATGCTCTGTGCCAACCTAGTAAACAAACTTCTGACCAAGGGTGCTTAAGCCGGATTCGGTCATCTAGATGGCAGATGGCGAGTGCCTGGAGAACAGGAATCAGATTAAAAATTGCTTGAGGCCTGGAACACAGTGGGCACTCAAATATACGTATGAAGAAAGAAAGGAAGGAAGGAAGGAGGGAGGGAGGAAGGAAGGAAGGAGGGAGAGAGGGAGGGAGGGAGGAAAGAGAAAGAAAGAAAGGAAGGAAAGACAGGAAAAGAAAAAAAGAATCGAAGAAGGAAATGGGACTGATGAATGAAAACGTTCCGTGAAGAAAGCTTCTACAACGATTCTTGACCAAACTCAGGTAAAGCATCTTTCCTCAGCCAGATGCACCAGCACAGGCAAAGAGTGAGAAAAAAAAAACAAAGCTTAAAAACAAAAACAAAACCCAAAACCGAAACCGAAACTCGCTGGGTCAAAGGAGACAAACAGTGAGAAAGGGAGGGAAAACAAACAAACAAACAAGCAAACAAACAATCGCGCGCAAGCATCCTCCCGGCGGATAGAAGAGCCTAGGCAAGCCGGGCCGTTGCCTTGGCGACCGCAGAGCCAGAACGGCGGTCGCTGATTGGCTGAGACGCCTGAGCCAATGAGGAGGCGCGATGTTGACGGGTTCTAAGATGGCTGCTGGGCCGCCGCTTCCCGGCCGGTAAGTTCGGCTTCGCGCGGCTCGAGTTGGCGGCGCTCCGGCCGGGCTTGGGTTCCGGGCAGGGGAGGGAGGACAGCGGAGGAGTGTGGGCGGCCGGGGCCTCACGGCTGCTCCGCGGCGTGGCGGGAGCGGCCGGGCAGCCGGGGGCGCCGGAGTCGGGGAAGGCGACTTCGGCCGAAGGGGGTGAGGCTAGCTAGGCCTTGGGCGTCCCGGCGGGGACCCGGGGGTGGCGCGCACCCGCCCCCAAGGCCCCGGAACCGCGGAGTTCCAGGTCGTCAGCCGCCCGGTCGCAGCCCTCAACTCTGTAAGTATTCGCACAGTGGCGTGCATCGCATAGTTTGTAAATGTTAGCATACGAGGTGGAGGGGCTCCGGGTTGGGGAGCGGGGGAGGAGTAGTTACCGGGCCTCGGCTGTAAACAAACATTGTCTTAATTCCAAATCACCCGCTCTTGCAAACAAACACAAAATAAAAAGGAATCCCGCCAAGTAAACAGTTTAGCCGAAACAAATCCGAACGCACAGGCCTATGCGCGCCCGTGTGTTCTCTTGTGCAGTTTTGAGAAAAAGGAACCCGTTTTCTAACAATAAATAAGACATTTACGTTAATGTTGATATTTTAAGCCCCAGAGTATGGTAGTTAGCTGACTTCAAAGTTCGTGAAGTAATTAAGTACTTTATTATGGTCTTATAGATTAGAGGATGGTGGTTATAATTATTATTATTATTATTATTTTTACAAATAAGATTGAATTTGGGTGTCTGACTTAAAACGAATACAAAATTCGTGATAAAATATGGTCATTTGATGAACATGCAGTTTAAATTCTGTCATATTAGAGACAGGAAATGCTGATCCGTTGAGATGGTCAGATTTTTAATCTTTGGGTATTGCTTGTAAGCTGTTGGGTGGTCCAGAAAATACATTTCTTGGACTAACACTTGTGACTCTCAGCATGTTACTTAGTGTAATATCTTGTCTGGTTTAACACATGTAAAAACTGCAGGAAAAAATGACTACTAATTTTAGCAGTCTTATAATTATTACGTCCTAGAATCATTGTTTTGGCACTTCTACCAAATCTTTGTCTCCAAGAATGCTTCACTAACTTTGCCTTCTAAAAGTACATAATTGAAAGCCGTCAGGCTCTGCCTTTGTGGAATAAGTGGACCACAATGATTTAGGCCAGTTGTAAAAGGGTTGACGTTAATGTCTAATGAGTGTGTTGTGATGAGGATTACTGCCTGCCTCTCTGGTTTGTATGCCATGTGTGACATGGCCTGCTTTGTTTTTCTCGTTGCTTTTGTGTCTTTTGTGGTGACTGGGTTTCCTGTCCTTTTTCAGTAGCCTGGGTGCAGAGCCTCTAGAAGCTGGTAATCTTGACTGGATTGTGAGGTATGGGAAGAAAAGTGCATTTCCTGGGCTTTAATCAGGACTGCATGACTAGGGTAGAATAGGATCTTACATCAAAGAGTGAGGCAGTTCTGGGCATTTGGCACACTGACAGCATTGAGATTATAAACATTTTAAGATGGGAGACATCTTAGTGGTAACTGATGATGCTGATTTTAAAGCGTAGTAAGGAAATGCAATGACCTGCCCTCTCAGGGCTGGAAGTCATCTGAATTCCAAGCCTGTTTTTTGCTCCTGTAACTAGTGGTCTCCAATCCTGACACAAGCCAAAACTTTTATTATTGAGATTTGGCCATAATCTACATAGAAGAATTAATTTTCTGTCTGTTACTCCACATCTTTTGAGACTGGCTGAGTGAATTTCCTCAGTTAAGGGACTGATTTAGGGTTTTTCTCCCTTAAGATAGACATACATCCTGAAAGGAATGAAAGGGACTCTTCAAAAAAACAATTTCCCTTCAGAGAAGTCCAAACAGAAGTAATGGGGCCAGTTGGGCACGCATTGATAGGAATAGAAAGGCAATGCCTTCAGACAGGAGCCCATGGCAGAAATCACTCAGCAGCCTCTCTGTAGGCTGGTGTGCAGTTGAGCTGCTTTTTCGATGGACGGGTCGGTCTTGCAGGCTTATTACCAGCAGTTACCTGGGTTTATCAGCAGAGACCAGAATCTCCCTTCTATCTGTTTTTATGTTTCCTTTTTCTTTTGTACCCCACTCCCACCTCCCAGTATCACAGGAGACTGGCTTGTGGCTAAAGATTTTAAAGGACTGAGTTAAAAAATACACTTTATTTGAATTTTGTATTATGGATTTGGAGGTTCTTTTAACTTTTCTTCTTCAGGTACATTTAAGAAACTATCAAGCTAGAAAAATACCATATTGAGGACAGTTTTGGATACCATATCAGCAGTAGATAAAAGTAATTTTGAAAAAGTCCAGAAAGCCATGAAAACTGGATCGCAGCCTGAAGACAGATGAGGAAAAGCATAACTTGTGTAGGGTAACTGAGACTATTTTCTCTGGGGAAGATTGTGAAACTCCAGACGTACCGAAGCAGAGGTCTGCTTGTAGGGGGCACGTGCTATTGAAGGTCCAGGCTGAATGACATCTCCTTGCCCTGTGTACACAGATGTTTTGTGTACTTTTGTTCCCAACCTCTTAAAGAATATCTAGCTGACAGTGAAAAATGCCATGGGCATACTTTGTACAGTAGGCCCCAAGCATGCTTACAAAATTTCTGAAATGTGTTACAGTTTTAGTATCCTCGGATGCATAATGAGCCTAAAGATGTTTTGGAGGCTGTTACTACTCTGCTGTCCCTGTTGGCATATTTTACTGAATATCTCAAGAGTTCCTTTTTCCCAACTTTGAAAACCTACAGACCAAGTGTAGGGGTAGATGCAGGTTCTATAAGGCTGAACACATATAATTTGGGGACTTTACTTTGAGTACAACATAAATTCTGGATAGAAAATTACACACAATGATTAGAGAAGTCCTGTATAAATAAGGAGCATTAATATTCGAGTTCCATTAATGGTCTGGTAATCTGCCTCTTGTTTTATTGCCCACTTTGGAGGCCAAATATGGGGTTATTTGTAGAAGCTTCATGTCAGGCTGTGGAGATGAGGGAGGAACATAATTTGTATCATTTGATAAATGAAAATGAAGCACCACAAATATCAGAAACTTCAAAGGTACCTTGCAGGCCCTTCTATCCATATTAGGGGTGATAAAAATGCACTCCATGGCCACAGAAATAATAGCAAGAGCCACTGAATGTTTGTTTTTTTTTTTTTTTTTTTTGATGTGCAGTTCAAGTTTATTGAGCCCCTAGAACCTCCTGTACACTCTTTAAGTGTCTCATTTCATCCTCAGACTAACCAGTGTGAGTCTCCTGTGCTACAGATGAAGAAACTGAGGGTCAGAGTTGTTAAGTGATTTCCTTCTGCCTCTAGTGGAACTGGAGTCGGGAGTCTAGAGGGGTCCTTTTAAAAAGCCAAGAGAATGTTTCAGAAAATCAGGTCTGGTGGACGCAAAAAAAAACCTGTTTCTTTACATCTGAGAGGCAGTCCTTAAGAGAAAGCAGAAATATGTAATTCAAAGTGATGCAAAGATCCTTGATACCTGTGACCTAAAGAAAATGGGGGTTGGTTTCCTTGCTAGCTTTACTGAGAAATAGGGCAGGACACTCAACAAGACAGCTTTTTGTTCTTCTGTTCCTTCTTCCTGATGGTGAATCTGGAGAGCTGTAACTGTTTGGATTCAGTTCTGTAAAGAAATAGTCCTTACTGTGGAAAACAAATGAAATCTTCATAATCTTGGAAATGCTTACACTAATTCTAAAAGTCATTTTCATGAAACGTCATGACTATACCAGTAGGCCATACAGATAATGTCAGATCCCGTACTGAATTTCTTGTTTCCAAAATACATAGTATTGTTATTCAAGAAAGCCATGTGCTTGCTACATTTTAGAATTCTATTTCTTTTGGTTTATTTTAGCAAACTGTAAAATGTAAAACTAGGATATCTTTTCCACCTGCCACACCTTTTCTTTTACTGTTAGTGTTTTTACACTTATTTATTTTGTGTATGGGTGTGCTTGCATACCCACAGGTGGAAGTCATAGGACATCTTACAGAGGTTGTTTTTCACGTAGCATGTATGGATGGAACTCAGGTCAGGTCGTCATGTTTGGTGGCAAATGCCTTTATTTGCTGAGCCATCTTGTTGCCTGTACTACTTTATTACACCCTTTAAAACATGTATACAACTTAAAGTTCTTTTCTTTAATGTTAACCTACCTGCTCCTTAAACAATAAGCCCTTTGAAAGTTATGTGTGCTTCATTTAGGTGATGCCTTCACCCACCTTTATTTCATCCTTTAGTAGGTATGACATGAAGCACGGTATTGTAAGCTTTAAACTAGCTGTGGTGTTTCTTGCATACAGTTGCAGCACTTAGGAGGCTGGAGCAAGAGGATATTCAGGAGTTTAGGGCCAGACTGGGCTCCAGAGTAAGACCCTGTCTCAATAAAATTTTAAAAATACATTGTTTTAAATTCCTACAGAGCGTATTGTTAAGTGTTTGGCATTCTTGAGCTGTGAGAGCTTTACTAAGTTTCATTTAGACAGAATAATCCCTACTTTAGAAAATCAATAGTCAGTTTTATTTGGAGGCATGTGTTGTTGACGTACTTAAACTGTTAGATTACTTTTAAACTATTTTTCTTTTAACTTAACACAACTGATTGTAGCTATTTTCTATGGAGGGTTCATCTCATTTTAGATTATAAAGTTTAAATTGGCTGTTCCTAGATCATTGGTAGACATATTGGTCTTCTGGGATAGCTGTTAGTGGTTTTGAAATAGTTTCTGTGGTTACAATTTGAGTTTGAAGTCATCTTTCCCTTTCTCCTTCTAGAAGAAAAGATGTGGAGTGGGCTGTTACCTCCTGGATTAAATGAAAGCGATGTTGAGTCAGATCCTGAAGATGAAGCCACACTAGAGAATCCAGGACTTACAGAACGTAATTCACAGGAAGATGGAAAGACTGACAGCACTCAGTCAGATTTCCCAGCAGGCAGTCCAAACCCTGAAGCTGAGGCTGATGCAGATGCAGATGCATATGAAAAATGTCCCTCTGGGATTCCCCTGGACATGTGGAATGTAGGTTTTCTCTGCGTTGTTGGAAAGTCTGTGCATGAGCCCTCTGTTTCTGTGCGGTGGGCAGAATATGTTGGAATATAACAGATAGCAGAGGGGCTCATAATAATTTTCACTGTTCTTTTAGCTGTTTGGATACTTTGATTCTAGTTTTGTTTTACAAAAATAGAAGAAAAACTTTTATCTGTTTACTTTGCCTAACATGATAAGTGAGCTTATTTCTTTTTGTCTCATTTAGCCATGAGTCCCTGAGCTTCATTCTGTTATCACACAGCTTAAATCATAACCAGCGAATATCACAGTTCAGCTGAGAGCTGTGAGGACTGGAGTGTCTCAGGGTCAGAAATCCTTAGTGGAGCACAAGGTTTTTACTGAGCATATCTGTTCGTTGTTAAAATGTATGTTACCTCCAGCACACACATACACACATGCTTTTTCTTCTTTTTTTTTTTTACATAGAAATTCCAAGAATTGCATAAAAAACACTCTGAACAGAAAAATTCAGCATCAAGATTCAGACAGAAAAAGAGAAAACGCCACAGAAAAGGTGTTTATTTTTAAATTTAGATTTTTAGTTGTACTGACTTGACTCTAAATTGACTGAATTAATTTCTTAAAACTTGATTTTGAAATAACAGTTGAATAATTAAGTATTCTAAATTCCTTTTAGGCAAATTGAAGAATGAAAAAGAATCTCACAGGTAGGTGAAATTTAAAATAGTTACTATTCAGCAGTGTTGTCGAACCTTCTAGATTGTTGTACTACTTAGCTTGATAATGATCAGGTATGAGAAGTAGTCATTGAAGTGTACTTATTGCAAGCAGTTAAAAACAGTTAAAGAAAGTCATAGTTTGTGTACACAGACTTAATTTGTCTTCTTGCAGCAGTGAGCAGTCCTCAAGTGAAACCCAATGGGAGGAGCTTACTCAGTATTTTGGAGCCAATGATAGATTTGAACCCCCTGTTAAGCAGAAAAAAGTTGAGAAGGTAAGAACCATCTATTATTTTTATATTATTCCATTATATATTGGCTAACAGGATGTATTTGTGATTAGCCTTGCCTAAGATACTGGTTCATTGATTTATTTATATAATCATATATAAGTAGAACAAAATATCTTGCTGTGTTCCAAAAAGATGCTTTATAAACATGTAGATACTTAGTGTACAGCTCAATCAGAAGTTGTGAAGGCATTATTGTGAGGGCCTCACTCTTTTTGCCTTGGGTGGTGACAGAAAGTTGTTCTTATAAGAGGCCGACTCACTGAGGCCTGGAGGGTGGTGAAAGGCTATTTACATAAGTAATGGTCACTCACAGGCTGCTGAAACACAGGTGAAGACCCTAAAGGAGGACCCTCTGTCCTGTGACAGCTTCCAAATAATCACTTGGAGGATTTTATTAATTATTAATGCTCTACCAATAGCTCAGGCTCATTAATAGCTAACTCTTAAATTAACCCATATTTCTGTCTATGTTTTGCCACCTGGCTCAAGACTTTGTACCTCATTTTCAACACATTCTGCTTGTTTGATAGCTGGCTGGCAATCTCTCTTGACTCCGCCCATCATCAGAGTTCTTAGTTTAATTGTTCCACCTTATCCTGCTGGGCTGTTGTCAGACAGCTTTTATTATTATCCAGTGAGGGGAATATGTATTCACAGCATGCAGAAAGATCACCCCACAGCAGGGGTTAATGTGGGACTTTCTTGTGTTTTAGTGAGAAGGGTTGGCTGGCTGGAATTGGAGGAACAGGGTAGCTCAGACTTAAGGTAATCTTATAGAACTGCCAAAACTGGGTGACTTCAGAGCCAGTAAGAAACGGACTTCATTTGCGGTGCACTTGGCTTTTAAGAGAGTCACATGATCTAACTTAACGTTTTAAAGACTTCCTGGCTGTTCGGGGATAAAGCAGCAGACTGGGCACAAGGTGATGGTCTGTTGACTGACAGTGGTGTTGATGAAGGTGGGGTGCTTTGAGGGATTAACGGGAAAGTGGAATTGGTAGTCTTTGCTTTTGCATCATTTCTCAGGTTTTTCCTCAAGTGCGTTAGAAAGTAAAGTTAGGAAAAGATTGAGAGTAGAACCTATTCAGAATTCAGTTTGGGGCATAAGTGTTAATCAGAGCACTAGGAAAGAGTAAACAATTGCTGTATATGAGGTGGGGCTCAGAGCAGCATCCGATCATGAGGTATGCATTTGTAGTTGTTACTCTTCAGAAATTAGAAAGGCCTTGAAGGAACCGCATATATGCACGGTAGGGTAGGGAGTGGTGTTGGTGGAGTCTAAGAGTGTGAGGCTCCTATGTTCCGTGGTTGGCTGGAATCCTGTGTATCCTGTGCTGCTTTAGACGTACCATTTACATGGCTCACTGCTGAGGACTGCTCAGTATACCTAAAGACCTTTGCCATTTTCTGATCAGTTGGTATTTTTTTGTGAAACACCTCTCATTAAATCCATAATTAGTTGGTGATATCTCACTGTGTAAATTAAGGGCCTTTTACAAGAGAATTTTGTATGTGTTTTAGAGTTTTGTTGTATTTGAGATGATGTCTGGTTGTATTTATTGCCCGGGCTTGTATTGAACTCCTCATCTCAATCAAGTTGTCCTATTCATTCAGCCCGTGACTGGGATTATAGTCACAGCACACTCGTTCTCTACTGTTGTACAAAGACTTATTAAAATTCCAGAATGGCTCCTATAAAACCGGGTACTTGGCCTGGGGTCATTTTTTGTACCTACTACTGAGCAGATATAGAAGTAATACATTTTCCACAAAATCCATTGGTAGCATTGCAAGTAAATTCTGAGTCTTAAGACACCATGCTGATGTTCCCTGGGCTCACTGTGGAAGGTGATGCATTTCCGAACATGTTTTTGTCATGATTTTCACCCTTGTGATTCATGTGTGCTGGGAGCAGGTCATGTAACTTTGACTTAGACTGCTCTGTCCTGAAGCAGGAAGGAAGACCTTGGTGACTGACCTGAGCCATGAGCTATCTCTGGTAGACTTATTATGGAGTTCCAGCCACTGACTAGATCAGTGGTTCTTAACCTGGGAGTCCAATGATCCTTTCACAGGGGTTGCCTAAGACTTCCAGAAAACACAGGTATTTACATTACAATTCATAGCAGTAGCAAAATTGCAGTCATGAAGTAGCAATGAAGATAATTTTATGGCTTGGGGTCACCACAACATAAAGAATTGTATTAAAGGGTTGAGAACCACTGGACTAAATCCTTCAGGGCATGAATGATTTAAGTATTTGTTCAACTCTCTTTTTTTTTTTTTTTTTTTTTTTTTTAAACCTGTGAGTTAAATGGCCTTTGATTTTTCAGTTATTTGCAATATTTATTATCTTTTGTCATAACAGTATTGACTTCAGAGTATCTAATTGAGACATTAAAGCCATGAAATGAACTTTGTAGACATTCTAAAATACAGAGATTTAGAGAATAATTTTTTTTACAACCTACTAGAATCGTGTTGTTAGTTACCCTATTGTTTGAAGTTGTACAGTGTTAATTTTGACTAGATACAACTAGCTCTTGTAGAGTTATAAGGATTCCTCATAGTATCATTTGAAGAACTTCATCTTAGGACCTAGCACCTTTTCTCATGTGCATTACATGTACTCTAGAAAAGTCAAAATAGCAGTTAAAAGTGTGAACTCTGGTATTGTGATGCAATAGTGTGTGCATCCATTTTGTAGGTTTGGGCTCTTTTCCTGCAGATATTCATCCCCCTGCATAAAAGACGCCTGGTGAAGAAAGCTATGGGTCTTCTAACCAAGGAGACTGTTTTTGACCAGGCTTATATTTTGCCAACAGTAACTATTCTGCAAGTAAATGGGAGCATGAAAGGAAAGGAAGGCTTTATTTAGTAAAGCTGAATTTTTTCAGTTTCTCTTGGGAGTTGAGTGTAATTGCCTGCTGGCAGTTCTGAATTCATTGTCTAGGTTGGGATCATGGTTTTTACATGATGTTTCTTTCTTTTGCTGACTTGCGGGGGTCTTTACTGTGAGTCTAGCAAGGTAAATAAACAAAACAAACAAACAAACAAAAAGGCAAAACCAAAATGTCCACATTGGAGACACCATGATAAAAGCAATGAATAACTGTAAGTCCAACAGGAATCTGGTGGCACTATGCAGCCATGAGATACAGTGTAAACAAGGGTGAATTTCCAGTCTAGCATTTTATCCTCTGGAGCAGAGGCCGATCTGTTTCAATATCAGACAGTCTTTTTTGTTTTGTTTTCACTCAACCCCAAGACTTCTTAATCTTATGTCTATCATACACCACCACCACCCTTTTGGAGTCCTTTAAAGTGGAAACTGTTGCACAGCCCAGAACACTGCTGTCACCTGCCTGCCACACCCTAACCCTAACCCTAACAGAGACACGTATATAATTTTTAAAATACAGTCTTTCTAATATCGAAGGTGTTCTTTCTGTTAAATGCAGCTATAATTGTGTTTCTGGTTGCAGTTAATGGGGCTTACTAATCATTTTGTAATCATAATTTATATCTCTGAATTTCTGTAGAATAAATTTTGCTCATTAATTTCACTATAAATGTCTCAAATATTGTCTAGTTGACTCAGTCGTTATTGAAGTAGTAGTCCCCAGTATGTCAAATGGATACTTTTGGTGTGAAGACTATCGGTACTTCTATTATTCTTTTAGAATTACTCTCTTTGATGTTTGTTTAAAGTTCTTCATAAAGTTTTTCAACTGCTGTTGCATAGAATAGCTTTCTCAAACATTCTTTTGGTTTTGTGTGTGTTTTTTTTTTTTTTTTTTTTTTTTGGTTTTTCAAGACAGGGTTTCTCTGTGGCTTTGGAGGCTGTCCTGAAACTAGATCTTGTAGACCAGGCTGGTTTCGAACTCACAGAGATCCACCTGCATTTGCCTCTGCCTCCCGAGTGCTGGGACTAAAGGCATGCATCACCACTGCCCAACTAACTTGTTCTTTTTTTGTGGTAGAATACTTTTTCCATCTAGATCTTTATGTGGAACTCCAGTATATAGATCACATCAAAACCTGGCTGCCTTGAGTGCATTGGGAGGGAGGTGCAGAGGTTTGGGAAGAACTAGGGTACCACTAAGTTCTCCTGATAGCAGTCACGATGTTTTCTTATGATCCCCATGGTGCTCTCTGTATGGAGATCCAGTGTTAATCTGCTGATAGATGATGGAACAGCTTAGTGTATTTGCCTTAAAAAACAAACAGCAGTTAAGATGTAAGACTTTAAACTCAAGTCATTTGGTCCTCAGTCTGACTTTTTCTAAAGTAATAGATAAGTTTAGTATTTAACTTCTTAATTTTGGTATGATTTATGTTATAAAAATAACAAAATCATCACATATGACTTGTATAATATATATCTTATATTTGTATTTAAATGTTGTTCCTTCCTGCTCTTTATGGAGAAATTGTCCCATTTTGCTCCTAGATATTTAAATTCAGTCATAATTAGGCAAATTTCAATAGATAGCTTATTTTTATTATCCTTTAAAGATTGAGTATGTTATCCAAGTAAACATTTAGCATTGAGATTTTGGTAGAAATACATTGTGATGCTGTGTGACTTAAAGTGCTTTAGTCACAGAGTTTTCGTGTACACATGTGTGTGGAGTCACTAACATTAAGCGAGTGCCCATGTAGTCCTACACACCTGTTTTCTGTGCCTTCTTGATATCTGTAGGATAGCTTTATGGACTAGAGGTCAATTGTTTTCTTATGGGAACCTGTTACATAGTGTCCTTAGCTAATTGCCATTCCTATAAATACCCATCCTCTGAGATATATTTTATGCTTAATTCTCACTCAAGTAAAAATTGAAGCGTACACAAGGCACTGTAGCTTTCAGCCATAGTCTGCAGCTCCTGCTGGTCCTCTGGTGTGGAAGATCATGGGTAAATCAGAAACTTCTTGAAAATCATAAAAAGCAGCCAGGCGGTGGTAGCGCATTTCTTTAGTTGCAGCACTTGGTAGACAGAGGCAGGTGGATCTCTGTGAGTTTGAGGCCAGCTTGGTCTACAAGAGCAAGTTCCAGGACAGGTTCCAAAACTACAAAGAAACCCTGTCTCTAACCCCCCCCCCCACAAAAATTTTTTTTTTTTTTAAAAGCTTGGATACTTAAATCTTGCTTGATGAGACAATTTACTGACCCAGAGTTGAATTCTTAATACTGGGATCTAAGCCCCTGAAGAAGTATGGTGAAGTCTGTAACCTTACCTGGAAGTTGTCTGATATTAGAGATTAAAAAAAAACAATTAAATATACTAGGTGGTTACTGTATTCTCTTAATATTGGCTGGATAGTTTACATGCATTTCCCTGACCCTGATCATCACATTGTAGATAGCATGGTTTTATATTTACTTGACTTCAATGAAAGAACTGCAAGCAGTTTGGAGAACATCTACAGATTGCTCAGCTCCTGAAGTGTTTTTGGCAGAATGCTGTGAACTTGTCTTCTTACAGTGATTGGAGTATTTATAATATATGAATGTTGAATATATTTAGAATGCTAATATGTTCTTAATAAATACAGAATAGATTAAAGTTTTCAGAGCTAGGCATCTTACATAGATTATGCCTGTAAATTCACTATTCTGGATGCTGAGGCATGAGGAAAGCCATAATTTCCCAGCCAGCTTGGGCTACAGTGTGAGACCGTGTCTCAAAACAAAACTGAAAAAGAAAAAAAAGAAGAAAAAGACAAGAGTATTGTATGAAAGGAGAAAACAAACCTCACTGTGTAGACCACCGTGGCCTTGAAACTCACAGATCTGCCCACCTCTGCCTCCCTTTGCTGGGATTAAAGGCATGCACCGGTCTTCAAGGATGCTGAACTTCTAATCCTGTATCCACCTCCCAAATGCTGGGATTACAGGCATGTGTCACCACTGTGCCAGACTTAATGCAATGCTAGGGATCAAACCCAGGGTTTCCTGTATTTGAGGCAGTACTACTAGCTTAAGAAATGTTCCCCATTCTGATTTAAGTTTAAAGTGAAACCACCTTTATTTAAGCTCAGCAGCTCATAGGCATTTCTGGGATAGGGGAGTTTTCCCATCCCCCTGTGACATTCAGTGCTAGCTCTATGTATCAGAGGGGCAATAACAACTCAATAGAATGGCTTAATACATGGATTTACCCAGGTCTGAGAATCTGTGGGTTACTCTGGGCATTGTGTACAGGAAGGCAGTACCCAGATCTTTAAAATCTCAAGAAGCCTAGGTAAGTGGAAGGGAGCACAGCTACTGTGCATAATATTCATGTCTTAAGGGAGGATTAGTGGGCAGGTTACTTAGGTGAAAAGAGCGGAGCTGTCTAGGTGATTGCTTGGGTAAATACTGAATTGAGGTATCTGACTACCTCAGACTTTGTGATATAAGAAAATTGAATTTGATGTTAATATTTACTCCATCTGTCTCAGAGGCATTTGAGGAAATCTTTGTTCTGCAAAGGGAGTAAAAGCTATTGTGTTAGCGTTTTTGTAAATAAATAGCTTCATTTCCATTATAGATTAAATATGAAGTTTGAAATGGAGAATGTATAAAGTTCTAATTATACTACACACTGGGAGCTCAAGATAAAGATACCCTTGAGCCCTGAAGAAATACAGAAGCCAGAGGAAGTGTCAAATCCTCTGGAACTGGGGTTCCAGATGGTTGTGAGCTGCCCGATGTTGGTACTGGGCTCTGAACTTGGGTCCACTGGAAGTTCAGCAGTGTTTTAACTGCTGAGCCATTGGTCTAGCCCCAAGAAATACATTTTTTATTTGTTGCAGATAAATTTGTATAAGTAAGCATGGCAGTATGTTATCCCTTTTTGACTGGAAGGGCATCCTTACCTCAATGTTACTGTTGTGTAATTCTTATCAGGGGCTGCCAGTGTAGGTGGGTTCCTTCAGACATGGACTATTGCTCTGCAGCTTTCAGTGCAGTAAAGGCTGAGTGAGTGCCTGCTGTGTGGGATGGACTGAAAGGGTTTTGGGATACTCTAAGCCAGTGGCTGTGCATGGAGTTTGCCTTTATTGAGCCTGGACCCCAAGAGGAGAAAGACAGGTGTTAGGTGAACTGGTGCTAAGGGAGACGTGAAGTTTAGTGATGCAGCCAGGAGAGCAGTTTGGTGTGGGATGTGAGAACAGGTGGCATGGTTAGACGGTAGTGCAACGGAGTAGGGTAGTGCCCGATGGGAGCTTGAAAGGATGGGGATGGCATTCTTTTTGTTTGTTAAGGGAAGTATGTCAGAGGCACTAGGAACATTAATAAGATGGCGCTTGTGGCCAAAGATTAGGAAGTATAGCACTGCTAAAGGTGAGACTAAGAAAGCCTCATCTAGATAAAACTCGTAGCCAGGTGGTTGATCTGCATTCTGGCTCAAGAACCTTAGCTTAGCTTTGCATGAACCCAGTAATACATTTTTGCTAAGTATATGATGAGCCCTACCTAATTTGCTAATTCCGCAATTTAAAATTTCGATTTCTTGAAGTAAATTTAGCAAATTAAAACATTTCCATAGTAGATTTGTACTATTTATTGACAGGTAAGAGCTGGTACGTACATAGACCTCAGTTGGAGGGGCGCAGGCTGAGAGTAGACAGAGTTAGAGCCTCCTGAAAATGCAAATGGTTGGGAGTCCTCCCAGTACTTGCACCAGCCTGAGAGGAATTCTGCAGACACACAAGACAAGAGTAGAAAATGAGCTTTAGAGTCTTATATCCTAGGACCAGAAGGGCAGATAGTTGAATGAAGTCTCCTGCTACAATGGGAATCAAGTTGACTACTCTAGTCCTGATATGGGATTGTGATAAGGAGTCTTCTTATACCAGACATCAAGTGAAGTGCCCAGTGGCCTCTGCTTCAAGTTTGTTTGTTTGTTTTGGGTGGATTATGTTGTATTTAATAAAGTCTTCATCTCAACATTAGTTCAGGAACAAAATCTCCCTCTGTTGACTGCTATGATCAAGTTGGTAGAAGAGTTTTTATTTTATTTTATTAAAACACTTTGCTGCTATATAAGGAGGAGGAAGTTTGTGTGAGGTCCAAGATTCATTATGTTGAAATAAAGGGATAGGAGGCAGTCATTAGAATAAAATTATCTTGCAAGAAACACATATTATACTACTTAAATCTTTTATATTCTGTAGTAACTATTCACAACTAGACCTTGTTTATGTCAGGGTGTCTTTTTGATAGGTGCATAATGAGCCCTACCTATTGTGATAATTCCAAGACAGTTAAAATTTTGACTTCTTGAAGTAATTTTAGTAAATTAAAATATTTCTGTAGGAAGATAAAATAATTATTTGTTGCTTTTTTTCTCTGTATAGTCAGTGTAAGAGCCCTAACTGAAGGTGGTGAAAGGCTTGAGTGAAAGTACTGCGCTGTGGGGATGGCTGTAGATAAGAATTCAGACTTTGTGCAAAGCCTTACAACTCATAGACTGATGTCAGCCAAGTTGACTAAATTATGGCTATTTCTACCTCTTACAAATAAACTGCCATCAGCCAAGTTTCCGTAGTGTAGGGGTTATCACATTCGCCTAACAAATAAGCTACCATTTTTCATGGAGCTGTTACAAGGATGCAGGTGATAGCTTTAGTAGTATAAGCCCCCAAGTTCTACCATATGGTGAGCACTCCATAATTGTGAACCATTGCTGTAATTAATTACTATTGCTGTTATTAGGGAATAGCAATCTTTGGTTTACCCCCACCCCCACCCCAGTCAGTGTTTGCATCTCCTTTTTACTGTTAACTTGAGAAAATCTGGGAACCTTAACTAGCCACCGAATGTTTCAGAAATGCCTTATTGATAATTGGTAATAGATGGAAGTCTTTATAGGGCTATTGAGAGGACTGAATGATGTTGCATTTGCTATATGCAATAGTCTTAGTTGTTTGCTATATGACATAGTCTTAGTTATTTAGCAAGTGATTGACTTCTTTTCCTACCCATAATTTGTTTTGTTTTGTTTTCTTTCCAGTCAGGCCTTGAAAAGAGGATAGACCAAGCTGTGGAGGAATGGGATGTTGAGAAGGCTGAAGAGCTCAGCAACCAGCTAGCTACTCGAGAGGTAAGTCAGACTGATTTTGATTTTCTTTTTGCCCTTACTTTTCTCTCCTTTCTACTGTTTCTTTTGAAAGGATGGGTTTTTGTGCTGACTTTAGTGCTTTAATTTTATTCTGGTCTAAAACTCAGGCTGAAAATTATGCATAATTGATATTTGATCCTTGTTTTACCTGACTTCAGCAGGTTTATTTTGCTTTATTTTGTTTGAGGTTGGTATTGCTTTTCAGGTGTGATTAGAAGGGTGCCTTCATTTTGAGTCTAGCTCAGTTGATTCTCACTGAGGGCAGCTGTGTGTTCTATAGTCACACCCTGCAGCCCTCTCCTTAGTCTTTGTTTACAGCCTTTTATTGTCGATTCTGCTCATTCCTATGTGTTTTCACCTAATTTTCCCATATTTTTAATGTGTTTCCAACTGTGGAAGGTCACAAGATGCTTCTGACTTTGGAGGTGTAGGGGTCCTATCTATTATTACTCAAATTTTGCATGTTCTCCTGTTCTATAGTTTCTTTCTCTTTATAGACTAAAAAACTTGAAAATCTGTATCCTAGTTTTTATTTTTAGTACCTGATTTCCTTTCTTCTTAACCTGTAAGACTCCTTGGTGTTAAGTCACATAAAACCCATCATAGTTCATTTATGAAATTTGCTGGCTTTTTCTAGTGTTCTAACTCACTTGTAGGATTTTGTTTTGTTTGTTTTTTTCCTCAGTCTGAAATTAGAAAGTTCTATTCCCATAGATTATTCCATGGAAGTACTGTTGCATTCTTCCATAACAGTTGTCTAAAAACCCCATTATTTGTGGCCATTGTGGGTTTTTGTGTGTGTGAATTTTTGTCTGCAGGCCTTAAAAAAATCTTTTGGAGTTTTATGTATGGAGTAAACAAATTCAAAAGACAAACTGAAGGATGATTCCATAATCATCCAAGAGATAAGAATTTCAAAATTGTCTTTTTTAAGTCTTTAAAAATAATTGGTCACATAAAATATTGCTGTGTGTAATGTTTATACAGGTGTATTAGTGGCTAAAAGAAATTACAGAGCCATGGGTGTTAAGGGCATTGGCTAGAAATAGCATGATGACAATTATATGACTTTGAAAAAACAAAACAAAACAAAATGATATTTTAATCTGGGTGTGGTGGTTCATACTTGTAATCCCAACACTTGGGAAGCTGAGGCAAGAAGATTACTATGACTTCAAGGCCAGCATGTGTTACAGAGTAAGACCCTATTTCAAACAAAACAAACTCTGACATTTCATGAATTGTTCTATTGTGGTAAAATACAGTAGAATTTATGCTTGTAGCCACTTTGAGTGTGTAACTGTGTTGTAATAAACATACTCATTGCTATGCAGAGTCTCCCATTGCCCATCTCCAGGATTTTTTGCAAAACCAAAATTCTGCAACTTTAAGTTATTCTGCAGGTTTCTCTTCACCCTACTTTGAGAACACACTACTTTGCTTCTGCATTTAGTTTCTGTAGATGCTTCATATTAAGTCATATGTTTATGCTTTTGTGTCTAGTGTATTTTGTTTGGCATACCATCTTTAGAGATCATTGTGTTGTAGTGTATGTCAGAATTTTCTTCTATTTCAAGACTGATTGGTACTCTCTCATTTGGGGTGTTTGTGCCATTGTTTGTACATTTAATTGCTGTTTGACTATTGTGAACCATGCTACTGTGAACATGAGTGTAGTAGCGTCTGTTTGAATCCCTATTTGAAATTCCTTTGTATCTGTACCCAGAAATAGAATTGCTACGTTATTTAAGAAAAAATAAATGCATGTCAGGCATTTGTTACGTTTTTAATTTGTGAGGAAGCTATGACTCAGCATAGCCATCAAAGCTTTGACGTGGTTATCTTGTAGCCAAACTATGAAATACACTTGTGTTTGCTTTTTTCTTATAAGATATTCTACCCTTTCATCTTCTAATGCTCCTTATTCTTACAATTTGACAATTGCTCTGTTTTTATAAAAGGGGGGCATATTTTGATTAAATATAGCTTTTGTAATAGTGTTTCATCACAATTTTGAAGGGGAAAGATGAAGTTCAAGGTATGTTAAATTGTACCCCAAGTTCAGTAGGATTTCCTGTTAGCTGTTGTTTATCTATGGCTTCTTCAGTGTAAGACCAGTCAAGAAACGTGTGTGTGTGTGTGTGTGTGTGTGTGTGTGTGTGTGTGTGTGTGTGTGTGTCGGGGGTGGGGGTGTCCTTGGAACTCAGCCATAGGTGTGCTGTTAGAAGAAGTGGCTTTGTTTCTTAAAGGTATAGTTAACTGCTGAGATAACAAGATTATACCCATTAGTAAATGTCATCTGCAGACTCTGACAGGGTGGCCATGGCAACATGAGGGCATGGTGAGGAGGAGCAGTGCTGTGGACTTGGACAGCACCTCAGGTTTACATGTCTGCTTTGGCTCCAAGGATTCATCTGGGTGGGACTAGGGAAGAGTAGGATCTAGAGAGGCTTTCCAGAACTGGAAAGCACACGCTGGTAGCCAATCAGTGGGTTGCACCCTTCCCAAGTTGTGAGAGTAGAAGCTAGTGGCAGCCTAGTGTGGATCAGCAATGAAACCTTAGAGGGAGCTGGTGCTTACCTGTATCTCTACTGAGGAAGTCTCTTACCCCGGTGCTACTTGTTCACCAGGTGTCTCTTGAATGGCCTGGAAGCTCCCAGTGCTGTTTTGTATTGGTTTGGGATGCTGGTCTGGGATTGTTGGATGATTGTAGTAAAGCCCAAGACACAACTTAAGAAAACCCAGCAAGACTAGTGTGTGATTGCACTCTTCAGGGGTATAGGACTCAAACTGGTGCTCTCTTGCCTTTTCATCCATTGTTCCTTTGGAGGAATCAAACATTGTGTACTGTGATCTCTTCCTACTACAAAGGCAGCTGCCACAGCAGAACCTTCCATCTGTCGGTTGTCTCTGTTTGCCTTGCTGAGGAAGAAAGGATAGGCAGAGCATAGTTTATTAGCTCTTCCACCTGAAACTAGGGGACATTTGCAGTAGAGCCTCTGTTTCATTTCAGGCTCTGAGTTCCTTTTAGCAGAGTTAATCATTTCATTTGCTGTTGAGGCCAGGGAGATGATGTTGTGGGTAATGGTGCTTACTGCACAAGAGTAGCAGCCAGAGCTTGATCACAGGAATCCATGTGAAGGTGGGAAAAAACACCAGCTTTACAAAGTTGTCTTCTGATCTTCACACACTGAATGGCCCTGTACTAAAAAAGTTTAAAACAAAACAAAACAAAAAACAAGTTGCCTCAGTTGGAGACCTGCGTTAGATCCCTGTTGGTAGAAGGGGGATGATGCGGGTGTGCACATACGTACACAAAGAAATTTAATTTTTTAAAAAAGGAAGTTGGAAAATTTATGACATTTTTCTTTAACCCATACACTTTATTTAGATTTGCATTTACTCCATTAATTTCCACACTAGCAAAGCGTTAATTTCCTGTTCTCTAACACAGCGCTCTGTTACAGTGTTTCTTGTAACACAGCACTCTGGTACAGTGTTTCTTGTAACACAGCGCTCTGTTACAGTGTTTCTTCTAACACAGCGCTCTGGTACAGTGTTCCTTGGATCTAGAATGACTGCTCTGTCCTCATTTTCGAGGAGAAGCCAGTTAGTGCCTACCCCTCAATTTTGTTTTGTCTAGGCTCTCCAGAGGCACATCTTATCTCTTTGTGCCACTTTTTGATGGTTTTACTTTGATAAGGGCGATACCCCTGAGTTTCTTCACTGTACAATTACTCTTTTCCCTCTTGTGATGAATAAATACTTAGAGGAGAGGTAGTTACACTTTTCGCCTATTTCAGCATCTGTTGTTGGTTCTTTTCTTGTGTAGGGAAGTTATTATTGTGATTACCAAATGACTTTAGATCTTTAAAGCAACATTTGACTTTAAAAAATATTTGTTTTAGTTTTAATTGTGTGTGTGTGTGTGTGTGTGTGTGTGTGTGTGTGTGTGTGTTAACTTGCTCAGGAACATATATATGAGTGTAGGTGCCCAAGGAAGCCAGAAGAGGTGTCAGATCTCCTGAAGCTGGAATTAAAAGTACTTGTGAGCTGCCTGATGTGGGTGTTGGGAACTGAATTCTAGTCCTCTGCATGAGCAGCAAGTGCTCTTAACTTGGAGCCATCCCTCCAGTTGCACTTGACAGTACTTTCTTACATGCCAAAGGAAGACTAAAATTTAGTTTGTGTGTGAGAGACTAGAAGTTGTTTTCTGAATCCATATCAGATCTCGTGAACCTGGACAATTTCCCAAATGGTGTGATGGGTTAGGAAGGTGTTCCATGTATGCTCTGTTCCATGTATGTTGTGCTCCAGCCTTGCTGTATTAATTCCACACTCACCCTGTGAGCTGCCTTGCTGTGTACATGTTTGACTGCCTGTAAAATCATCCAGAGCTGTACCTCCATTGTTTTAGAAATAAGGATTTCTTCTTTGAGGACACTGCTATTATAGTTTGGTGTCTTCTCATCTTGCTGTTTTAAATGTTGGAATTTTATAATACTGACTAGGAGTTTTATTTCAAGATCTGTTCTTTCCTGCCATACGCCTTGATAAATGGGATTGCTTTAGGAATACTGTTTTTAGCACTTGTGAAAAAAATAGCATTTTTCTCAGTTGTCCTTTTTCTTTGATACATATGTAAAGCTGTGTTCTGGTAAATTCAAATGATTTAATGTGAGTTTAATGAGTTCTGATTAAAAGAAAAACCAGTAATTTATATCCTGGATAATTGAAAGAACACCTGGGTCATGTTTGCTATTCTGACGTGGACTCAGAACCACAGCCAGTGCTGTGCCCACCCTTTGAGCACCTGTGAGGAATTTCCCAGTGAAGAAGAGCTTTGGCAGAGAATGGTGCAAACTTTAGATTCTCATATTCACCCTTCAGTGTCAGTCACTGTGATGATGAGATGGGATTTTAGAGAAGTATAAGTTTGGGGCAGAGACCTTTTATGAATAGAGTATGTATATGTGCATGGT